TGGTAGCTGTACAGTACAACTGTTTTTAAGAATCGTTACTAGCCTTGAAAGGCTTTAGTTCATAAACTGGCATTGTTAGAAATATGACCCAAAATATTCACATCATCTATCTCTACACTGCCTATGAATTATTAAAAAAAAAAAAAAAACTATTAGACCAGTACAACCAGGTTATTCTTATAGTTTCAACATTGGGTATTCTTGTGCAGTATTATCATCTAAAATATTGCAATACTGGTCAATTGGAGACTGAACAAAATGATATTTCTATACTTCTGGATATTGAAAAAAGTGGGATTTTAAGGCTTTGGTCCCCACCCCCCAATTTGATCAAATACTAGCCATGTATAGTCAAATATTCAATATTGAAGAGACATTCTTGAAAATTAACTTGTGTTTTCTCTTTATTGAACCATTTATTAACATAAACAGGAATACAGCAAGTAAAAGAAGATGAAATATTAAAAGGCAGGACTACTGTATAAAACACAAATGTCCCCCCTCCTAACTTTTAGCACATCAGTCAATTTAAAAATAGAAAAAAACTTAAAAATAAAAATAAATATTAAAAATAAAATCAATAAAGAAAACATTTCACTCAATCTCCAAGTTCCATGTCTTTATATGCAATAGTTAATTCACAGTTTTTTCACATATTCACATAAAAGCATTACCATGTAGTCACACCAAGGCAGCGGCCAAGAGCAGCTCTTCTTGACAATTTCACAAAATATGCCGCTTAAAGGGAAACGCCGTTTTTTTTTTTACATTGGGCCATTGATTTTACGTTATTACGTCATGTTCTACTCATCCATATGAGTTTTGTGTCATTATATCTAAGAAACGTCTTCCTATGGGCAAACGAGTTGAAGGCACAAACTAAACTGTTCATAATTTATCATTTATGATACGCCAGCATTCATAACGTAGGTGAATCACTGTCCCCCAGATATCCCCGGTTGTATTTTTTATATTTATATCTTTTAAAAACAGAGCAGAGTGTGTATGACGTCATCAGTGCGCTGGACTGGAGTTGTGACCAGCAGCCCGGGCCACAGGCGGCTACGCTCTACCCCTTCTATTCATTCGGCGAGCTAATCTAAATCGTTCAGATGATTTCGCTCTCCATTTGGAGAGCGAGATCATCTGTGGTAGTAGCACTAGACATCTTCCAGGCATGTGAGTAAAACTAGCAGCAGTTCAGCGGACAGGATGAATCGGTCTCCGCCAGGTGACGTCAATTGTTTACCTCGGGCGCGGTGCATCGTGGGAAAACCACCATATTAGGCGTAAAGTCGAGATAAGCCACACGCGGCTGTTCTTTCGGCACAATTATTTACCAGAAATGACACGATCGTGTTGTGTGAGAGGCTGCCAGTCCCGGTGTCTTGCCAAGGTAGTTATCCCTGCGAAAATTTGTATCCCCTCGTCGGGATCGCGCACGGAGTAGGAAGAACAACCCGAGTTAACTCCACTTCAATTCCAACGTGCAGAACTTGAAATTTGAAAGGTTTTACGTGCATGAAAGTTGAGCTTTACTGTTTTATTCTTTACTTCACATGTTATAGCAGAATATCGCCAGTGATATTGATCTAAAACTAATAATAAAACACAAACGTTGGCTTGAAAGCTGGTCGCTGACAGCAGTGTCTACTCCTCCCTCTGAAAGCAAACAGATCCTTGTTCTTTTCCACACGTTCATTAAAAAAATCTCTCATTGTTTCACAGTGTCCAAATGTTCTCATCCCATTGAAAACTGTTGTAAACCGTATACTTGCAATAAAAATGAAATAGAAAATGGAGTGCACGTGTAATCATTAAAGACCATATGCCAGAACTGGCAATATGGGATAAAATAAAACCTGCTGTAATCTGTTCCCCCTGTCTAAATCAGGCAAAAAAGGCCCCAGCTTTTTCATTTTTGGCTTATAAACATCTTTTATGATGACAACTAACCCCTGAAACTTTGGAGTAGATTGACCTTTATTTCTTAAAGTTAATAGGGGGGAACAAATTATAGCAGGCCACCTGCTATAATCTGTTCCCCCTGTCTAAATCAGGCAAAAAAGGCCCCAGCTTTTTTTTAATTTTGGCTTATAAACATCTTTTATGATGACAACTAACCCCTGACACTTTGGAGTTGATTGACCTTTATTTCTTAAAGTTATAAGGGGGGAACAAATTATAGCAGGCCACCTGCTATAATCTGTTCCCCCTGTATAAATCAGACAAAAAAGGTCCCAGCTTTTTCATTTTTGGCTTATAAGTATCTTTTATGATGACAACTAACCCCTGAAACTTTGGAGTTGATTGACCTTTATTTCTTAAAGTTACAAGGGGGGGACAGATTATAGCAGACCACCTGCTATAATCTGTTCCCCCTGTCTAAATCAGGCAAAAAAGGTCCCAGATTTGTCATTTTTGGCTTATAAGCATCTTTTATGATGCCAAAAATGAAAAAGCCGGGGCCTTTTTTGTCTGATTTAGACAGGGGGAACAGATTACAGCAGGTGGCCTGCTATAATTTGTTCCCTCCTTGTAAAATTATTTCCTTCTGCATATACAGTAGTTTTTAATGATTACACGTGCACTCCATTTTCTATTTCATTTTTATTGCAAGTATACGGTTTACAACAGTTTTCAATGGGATGAGAACATTTGGACACTGTGAAACAATGAGAGATTTTTTTAATGAACGTGTGGAAAAGAACAAGGATCTGTTTGCTTTCAGAGGGAGGAGTAGACACTGCTGTCAGTGACCAGCTTTCACGCAAACGTTTGTGTTTTATTATTAGTTTTAGATCAATATCACTGGCGATATTCTGCTATAACATGTGAAGTAAAGAATAAAACAGTAAAGCTCAACTTTCATGTACGTAAAACCTTTCAAATTTCAAGTTCTGCACGTTGGAATCGAAGCGGAGTTAACTCGGGTTGTTCTTCCTACTCCGTGCGCGCGCCCGACGAGGGGATACAAATTTTCGCAGGGATAACTACCTTGGCACGACACCGTAGCCTACGGTAATTTCACATTCTGCTTACTTTTTTCCATATAGTCAGAGAGACAAACTCAATCCTTTAGTCCTTTGTTTAGCTATACTGCGGTTGTTTACACTACGCCTTTACGCCAAAAATGGCGTCTTAGCAACAAATGTCACGTGACTGACGGAGACCGATGAATGGTAGCCGGCGCGTGGATGACATCATAAAAAATGTCCTGGGGAAATTTCAAAATCGTCTGGGATTTTGGTCGACTACAGTGCAGCAGAACTGAGGCGTGAGCGCCAGGGCTGGGTCTGGGAACCCCGGAGGACGTTACATTTTTACATAGAAATATTATAATTTTTGCTCAACAGCTTCCAGGTAATCTGATCAATTGACTCAAAATCAGTGTTGGATCATAGTACTACATAGTCTTCAAAAGTTACGCCTTTTATTTTTACATTTTACTTTATTTTTATTAATTTTTTTATGGAAATATTACCATTTTTGCTCAATAGCTTTTAGGTAATGTGATCAATTGACTCAAATTCAGTGTTGGATCATAGTACTCCGTCATCTTCAAAAGTTACGTCCTTTTTCATTTTAAACTTTAAATTTTTTTTAAATAAATTTTCATATAGAAATATTAGCATTTTTGCTTAATAGCTTCCAGGTAATGTGATCAATTGACTCAAAAGCTATAAGAAATCATGGTACTAGACTGTTTTCATGAGATACACCATTTAGTTTTAATATGAAATCTCTAAATATGTGTAATTTTTTGTAAATATGATAAATATCAATATTTTAGTTTGATAGCCTCTTGGCTTCCGAATCTAGGCCTAAAGTTTTAATTTGAAATAGGAAGTTGGCACACGATGTACCCGTTTTCACTCGCCGTGTTTTTACTGTAAAGTCTCTAATAAGGGTGCACTTGAAGTGTTAGAGCGGTTTCCTCCGATCGCAGTGAGCAAAGGAGAGGTTTTCCCGGAGGGAAGAAGTGAATTAACCCAGAAAAAATGTCTGTAGAATATCGAAAGTAAAACTAACTTCACCACTTCTGGTACCCACATCGGGTGTGTTTAACCAGAAGAAAAGCAACGACAACAAAAAAATATCTATAATAACAGAAGCATTGAAAAACTGTTACCGAGACACACGCTGAGGGTCCATCGCCACTGTCCGCCCAGCCGCTAAGCCCTGACTCACACAATTCCCTTAGGTGGTCTGCACCGAGGCTTAGTTTTGCAGATAGGGAACCAGCGGCAGCCAGAAACCCCGCAGAGAGAGCGTACACGAAGCCGGCGTAATTACCACCAGAATCCATTTTTTGAGTATGGCGAGGAAATGGAGTTAACAACAGACTGAGATTAACAAATACAGGCTGCGTTCGAATCCCGGGCAGTTGCGTTCACCGTGGGCTAGATTCGTCGGCCGCTTCCTTCCACGTAGTCGAAAAAATTATCTGTTTGAACCCATAGCCAACCTCTTCCGGACTTCTCGTTTTCTCGGATTTCGAATGACACAGTCCAGGTAAACCGGTTTCTCTTGAGGATGCAGCCGCTGAAATCGAACGCAGCCATAGACTGAATCCCAAACTCACTCATATCACTATATCAAGTTTCACTCCAAATGAAGTCTCATTCGTAGGTGTGGATGGCGCCTTGTTTAAATGTGGTGGTGGTGGTGTTTTATTTATTTATTTATTTTAATTTTGGGACGATTCTCTCCAGCGGAAAAATCAAGCAGTCGTTGCTATAGCAACACAATTACGTCCGACGTGCATCTGTAGCTCTGTGGAGCTCGAGGTGATGTCAAATCAAACATTTGCCCCTGTCTTACAACAAATGTATACGGTCAGATAAAACTATTTCAAAGACGACCTCCCCTTTTGGATTTAATTTAGTTTTTTCGTATACATAGTTTGTGATTTTCTGTCATGGAATTGATGCGAAAAACCAGCGGAACATACATTTGAGTGCCCATGTTTCCTCCTCCACTGGTTCGCCGTTACACCAGCTTCAAAATTCCAGCGAGCCTCTCTCACTCCGGATGTTCCGCATCCTGAAGCCGATTTTGCACCAATTACAGCTTCTGATAATGTCAGTGTTTTGTTAGTGTTAGCTGTGTTTGTTGTAGATCATTTTATGATGAATAAAGGGAAAGCGAGCGGCGTGTCGTGGATCAAACCAGCTGAGCCGTCCTTTCTGAAGAAGTTTAAGACTGATGTGGGATATAAAGAAGGACCAAATGTTGACACCAAGGTAAGACTCTGCAGACGTAAGGTACACAACCACGGCTAGCTATCACCCAAGTAACCTTTGTCATATATAATTTGGTTTACGAAACTGGTCACTCACAGTTTTTTTTTTTTTTGGCTTGTTTTAATTATTATTCACCTTACATAATTGGTGACAATGCCCTCCAAACCCTTATTCTGGTGTGGGGGAAAATTGAAAACGTAAAACGTATTTGTATCTTCCATTCCAAAGCGAAAGGTGACTGTAGTCAAGAGAGATTTCAAGCTATATGCATTATTAAGATTGAGGAGAAACGGCTTCAGTGCTGCTTGGTGGATAATAAAAAGATAAGCAGAGGGGTTAATGCAAGCTCGGACTGGTAATCTGTGAGATCGTTTTTTTTGTTTGTTTGTTTTCAGATTAGAACAATGTGGTAAAGAACTTGTATCCACAGAAAAGCAGTTAGTGCAAATAATTCCCCACAAAGAACAGAGCCGTTCACAAGTGTACAGAAAAATACAAATAAAAGTCTGTCTCACAATAGAATGTCATTTCTCCTGTTGAACCATAAGCTATAAATCAAAACGTGCAGCTTGGATGAGCAGGTCAACCCACTCTGTAAATACCCGAATGTAAATATAAATCCATTAAAGAGGCCTATCATTCAGAACGCACACATGTGTAAGCAGCACCTTTTCAAGAAAAACTGACTGCAAACAAAAGTATTGGACTTCTCATCCTTCCTTCCACCAATTCCCACTTTATTTTTCAAATTGTGACAAAAAGTTACTTTCTTGTTATTAGATTCCATGCTCTCACGTTTCCTTGATTTTCCTGTTTGGCCACAAATGCAAGTCTCTACAACAGTGTTGTTATTTTCAGTGTTTTTTCTCAGAGACACCAACACTCTGTGTTGTTTGGATGTTATCATGATGCTTATCCTCAAATTACGGTTGTAGTAATTTAAATTTGTATTTGTAGTTGTTGAATATTTTTCATGCTGCAATTATGAACCTGCCATGATGTTTGACCATGTTCATGCAGTCAGCTGTCATATCTGATTCCCTTCTATTTTTTAGGATGCCACATTTTTTCGTTTGCATTCAGAACAACTTTAAATCATTATTTAAAAGTTACTGGTAATACAGTATTATTTGGTTTACTTTTTACTGTGAGTCTATAAGGTACAGATAAGTAACTTGTCCCAAAAGGCTAATTGCAAGGAAATGTTTGTCATTTCAGAGTTAGGACATCTTGCCCATTTGTGAAAAATCTATTAAAATAAAATGAGGGCCAAATGGTCGTTATGGAGATGAACCTCTGACTCGCTTTGCATTTTTTTGCCAAGCATCCCTTAACCTGCCGTATGGAGGACCAACTCTGCCATATTTAAAAATAAATACAGAAATAAATAAATGCTCAATAAATATATAAGCATACAATTAATTGCCAACAAAAATACAATAAACAAATAAATGTAAGTAGAAATTAAATTATAAAGTCATAAATGTATATAACCCTTAATTCGCTTCTTTATTTATTTGCCTTTGTAATATTTACCTTATTTATTTTTTTGTCCTTTATAATCTTCAACTTTATTTTTTAATTACTTATATTTTTAAGTATTTATTTATGTGCATGTTATAATATTTTTGTCTGTTTTATTCTTCCTTTGTATTTTTTAACCTTAGTTATTTCTTCGCCGCTGTTTATTTCTGCCTGCCCTTTTTACATTTCTCCCTGTCATATTTACATTTCTGTATGCATTTCTGTCTCATTATGCAAATGAGGAGGGGGTGTGTCCTAGAGAGTCAACTTCTGCTCATTGGTTGGCTTGGCGGCCCATCTTCTTAACTCACAGAGCTCAGAGTACTAAGTTAAATGTTCTCTTTTCTGTTGCTGTTGTTCAATAAAGTATGTTTTAAGATCTTTTGATGCGAGAATATTATACTTTTAAGCATCACCATATGGCCCATTCACAGATTTAATGTGTAATAGGGCTTGGGATCCGCGTTGCATTGTGGGATGTGGCGGCCATATTGACGGCTACGCAAACGTAAACATAGCTCTGATACAACGTTGTTGTTGAAAGAAGAGACGTAGAAGAAGAGACAAAAAAGATGTTAAAATCCCGAAAAAGATCTGGAATTTACCAGGACACATTAAATAGAGAAGCCACAGACCGGTATGTTGACAAAATCAGCATTATTAATAATTTGGATCCATATGAAGTTCCACACAATGAGTGGAGCACCGATGAGTGAGCGCCTATACTTCAAAACAGTTCCAAAGCTACAAGTCCTTGGAGTCTCATATGCAGTTCATGAATGGATGGGTTCAGGAGCTGCAGATCATAAAGCCAGCAAACAGTGGGAACACAGTAAGGTAAGCTGTGATCAGACGGGCTCTGGAAACTGCTAGTTTAGCAACTGCTAACCACTAATGCTAACAACCACTCACGCATGTAATGTACTTTAAACTAGCTGCTATGTGTTTCAAAGGTGTAGTTAGTAACGTTAACTGCCAACCCTCCGGGTTTCTCACGTATTTGAGCCTTTTCCTGCTGCCGTTTTTATTATTTTCCCGTAAAAGATCCCAACTTCGAAGGAAAGAAACAAAGTAGGCTATAAAATAAAACCGTGCATCTTTAACTTACCAGAATGAAAATGCAGGGAACACACTCTCAATGACATTGGAATACTGTGGAAAGTTATGTTCGGTTGTCTTACAGCCGCGATCCAAGCTAGAGGACGACTCTTTATGTCTGACACTTGGTCTCCGTGGTTGCGCCTCCAGACAGGGAAGCGGTGGAAAGTTAACCCATTTTCTATGTTCTTCCCATGGCGATCATGTGTTGAGCTGTTACAGCCCACAATACAGCAACGGTTTACCATTGTTGAAATCAAGTTAAGGTGAAATTAATCAAATTAAAACACGGCTGAGAAGGAGTACGGTATGCGGTAGTCATAGGCAGTAGTCTGAGCCGCGGTAAAAGAGGCCATCAGGATGGCGGCGACGCAAAGTGCTTACATCATGACGACCAAGCCCTATTTAAAAGAAAATGTGACGAACTTGAGAGGACCGCGGCAGCCCGTCTGCAGCGGCCCTCTCTCGGCATAGCTGTGTGTGAAGCTGTTGGTTAGCAATTTACTACATCGGTCGAATCTACAGGAGGAGAGTCTGATGTTGAGTCTGAAGTCATTAGAACGTGAGTAGGGACAAATACAACAAAAAATCGCCATCATAGCCAGCGGTCCTTGACACACGGCCATGCCGAGAGAGGGCCGCTGCAGACGGGCTGCCGTCAGCTTTGGAGCTCCCTTGGTGCCGCGGTCCTCTCAAGTTTGTCACTTTTTCTTTTAAATTACGCATTAAATCTGTGAATGGGCCATATGGTGATGCTTAAAACTATAATATTCTCACCTCAAATGATCTTAAAACGTACTTTTATTGAACAACAGCAACAGAAAAGAGAACATTTAACTTAGTACTCTGAGCTCTGTGAGTTAAGAAGATGGGCCGCCAAGCCAACCAATGAGCAGAAGTTGACTCTCTAGGACACACCCCCTCCTCATTTGCATAATGAGGCAGAAATGCATACAGAAATGTAAAAAGGGCAGAGAGAAATAAACAGCGGCGAAGAAATAACTAAGGTAAAAAAATACAAAGGAAGAATAAAACAGACAAAAATATAACATGCACATAAATAAATACTTAAAAATATAAGTAATTAAAAAATAAAGTTGAAGATTATAAAGGACAAAAAAAAAGAAGGTAAATATTGCAAAGGCAAATAAATAAAGAAGCTAATTAAGAGTTATATACATTTATGTCTCACTTTATAGTTTAATTTCTACTTACATTTATTTGTTTATTCTATTTTTGTTGGCAATTAATTGTATGCTTATATATTTTTTGAGCATTTATTTCTTTCTTTATTTATTTTTAAATATGGAAGAGTTGGTCCTCCATACTGCTGAGCTAGATCTATATATTTGAAAAATTAACTGTCAACAGTTGATATAGATCAGCTTTCCGAGTCTGCTGATAACTTAAATCCTGTTTTATTTCCAGAGTATGAGCTTTTATTACTTTAAACATGTGCACTCAACTTCTCTGGAAATGAGTTGGAGTGTAAATAATTTGTTAAACTCAATATAAACAGTCAGTGCTTCTGAGAAAAGAAAAAGGAAACATTCATTTATGCTGATTTTTATTTTTAAGACATACAGGAATTACAGAGAAATCGAAAAATTACTCTGTTAGTTGTGCCAATTGACCCTTTATTGCACTGGCACTGGCTTTTTTTTTTTTTACTTCTCATACAGCTGTGATTTTGCTACTTGATTCTTTCTCTCATCGCTGAGGCTCTGAAACAACAGATAAACAACAGCAGGACAAATTCTTTAAATCTCTGTGTGCGGATTTGGAGAAATCCCTAAACCATGCTATATGCTTCATTAATGCAATTAAATACCTTTGTGATGGTGACTTTTTAAGATCTCAACGTATTTCGTATCGATCAGATAACACAATAATTTGTAGTTCTTCGAGTCTACATGCAGTTTATTTCCTGTTTGGGGAGAGGGCTCCTGAAAAGCCCCACCCACAGACACATCTGCAAAAATCAGCTGGATTCCAGCAGCTGCCACCAGTAGATCTCGTCACCAGTTAATCTGTGACACCGGCCCTCCTTAAATTATACCAGCCCCAACACTTACTCTCTGGCCGAAGCACCTACCTGTGACAGTAAATAACTGAAGGACCCCCAGAAGTAAAACAATCTTAACTACCTATATGATGCATGCAGTATATGTAGCCCTTCCTTGTCATGCATATCCTTGCGACGGTTGGCATATGGAGTAATTTTCTATTTCTTCAAACTGTAAAATCCTTGCAACAAACTAAATTATAACAAAAACTAAAATGCTTTCTTTAAACCAAACTACGATGTTCCTCTTATATTTGGCGAATTTATATTTGAATATTTTGCAAAAATATGTTGCGGTGAATGATGGGGTTTTGCATCTAAAGGCTAACGTTTCCCCCTCTGTTGCCAGGTTGAGATGTTTCCCAATCTGGCAGTTTAGGATGGCCGTCTCTAGGTAAAAAATGTAGGCTTTGGTTCAAATTGGACGGGATTTTGTTTATCCAGGCGGTTTATGAAATTTTTTGGGCTGGAGTCAGTGACATCTGGTGACCCTGCTGATGTGGTGAGTGTGGACGTTACGCAGCAGCAGTCACTGTTGCGTCCGTGTTAATAACCAAAGCCAGTAAAACTGCATTTTAGAAGTCTTGGTGAGGGTTATCGTGTGATGCTTGCAGATAGATCGGTTAATCCACCATGTGTAATTGATTGTGTTTCACATTTCAGTGGAGGAGTATGACGGAGTATTAGAGCCAGGCTAGAGTGTTTTTATAGTGTTTCTATTGCGAGAATAAAGTTGTAATATTAAGAGACTAAAGCTGTAACGTTATGAGAATAAAGTTGCAATATTATGAGAATTGACTTGAAAAATAACGACAATGAAGGCATCATACCACAACCCGTTTCAGAAAGAAAGCTATGAGCTCCGACCAGCATATGACGGCCCACCAGCTCCACCAATCAGAGTCCGCTTTGACATTCTGCCCAATTTGATGCTGGTGCTTAAAAGATTTCCTTGTTTGTCAAACCAGAGCCAAAGTATAACTTCACATGATGCTCAACATTCCCTATTTTATGGTAGAAAGTGCTTCTTGTAAGAGTTTTCATAAAATACAACTATTAGGACTTTATTCTCATAATATTACAACTTTATTCAATTCAATTCAGTTTATTTATATAGCGCCAAATTCACAACACATGTCATCTCAAGGCACTTTACAGTTCAACTCGATCATACAGTCAAATTGATACAAAGTTTTCTATCTAAAGAAAACCAGTTGATTGCATTGACTCATTGACTCAAATACAGTCCCTCACACTAAGCATGCTTGTAGTGACAGTGGAGAGGAAAAACTCCCTTTTAACAGGAAGAAACCTCCAGCAGAACCAGGCTCAGTGTGAGCGGCCATCTGCTGAGGCCGACTGGGGTTCAAGGAGACAGAAACAGAGATACAAGAAGCAGCTTTAAAAGGCGGCCCCGTCCAGGAAACACACAGCCAGGCAGACGAGCTCCGAGCCAGCTCCCATGCCAGAGGACGAACAGAGCACATCCACTCAGACATGGTCAGAGAAACACGGAACACACGGGAAAACAGGCCGATCTCCAGCATCTATAAACAACATTACTTTATTATTGTAATGTTATGATTTTATTCTTGTAATGTAACATTATTTTCGTAAGTTTACTGCTTTTTTCTCGTAATTTTATGACTATTTATTCTTAAAATAAAGATAAAAACTCTCTAGCCTGACCCTAATACTCGGTCATATAGGTGTACCCCTTAAAGTCGTAGGGAAGTCATTTTTAAATTTCAAATCATTCTGGCTTTAACATGTATATAAATGTACTCTTTATCAGACCATATTGTCCCAAAAGTTAGGAAATTTCTATTTAAAAAAAAAAGACCAATCATTTATAAGACCTGCAAATGTGTCAAAAAAAAAATTGGATTTTAATACTTTTAATCCATTTTAGGTAACTTAAGAATTTTGGGGTAAAAAAGTAACTTAAGACTGATAGTTTACAAATAAACTAATACAAGACTAGACATGAGAGCTGTTTAATCTGTGAAGAACAAAAAATATATAAATTAGCTCTTCTTACAACCTGTATCTTTCCTCTCTCAGCGTCAGGTTATGCCCACACTGGATGATGACGATGGCTGTGATCGGGAAGATGAACTTCCTCAAGTTGTTGTCTTAAAAAGCGGAGATCTAACTGCAGATGAGGTGAAGAAACTCACAGAGGAAATGCAAGGCAAAAGAGGGAAAGGTCAGGATATTTCTCTTGTCACGGGGAATAACTTTACACCTCTTTGGATTTATCTGAGGCAGCACTGTACATATACAATTAATATCCTTTATCTGTCTCTATTATATTGTCAGGCGAAGAGGCTCTTTCTGAAGGCAAAATTCTCTTCAAGAAACCAGCAAAGCGCTCATCCTCAGACAAGTTTCAGGGCATCACTGCAAGCTCCAGCAAAAAGAAGAACAACAGCGGAGAGCAGTTGGAAAAGGACAGAAAACTGGTGAAGAATGTAAAAAATAACAGCCTGCTTTCATTTGGAGGCGAAGAAGAGGAAGAGAATGAGTAACTGTAAGACTGTACCTCTAAGTCTAAATCACAAGTTTATCATTCACAATGAATATAAACCAACAAATGAGTTTACTTCTATTTTTGGCTGCACTTGTATCAGTGTTGACTCATGAATTTGAAAACTGTTCAACTACAGCTGAAACTATTCTGCCTAAATAAACCACGTACCAAGGTCTATTTAAGTGATCATCAACTTGTGTGTTCTCTGCATTCAGAACTATGCAGAAGTGTTGATCAACCCCAATTTTCTTTCCATGTTGCTTCCAAGAAGCCATACTTTGTGTGTTCCAGAGAATATGTTAATAAAAGTTTCACTTGTAGCAAAATGGCTTTTTAGAATAAATAAATAGAAAATCCTTGTGGGATGACCTCAAACTAGCTAAAGGATTCAGATCTTTTAACCTTAAAAAAAATTTAATTGGACTGGCTCAGTTTTTTGAATATGTTTCGACACCTATTCAGGATCTTTTTGTCAATTTTGTTGGCTCGCAGCAGGGCAAACTGTAATAAAAACTGAAGTGGACTGTACATTAATGATCACTGATTAGACTTGTGTGTTCTCTAAAGGGATTAAAATTTCCTTGAGATGACCTGTTGCGAGGAAGCTCTATATGAATACAGCTATTAAAAAATGGTAAATGGATGTGTTAGATTTCAAAGTTCAACGAAAATGTGGAAGCTGGAAGAGTTTTGCATGTGGATAAAAACAGGCCCAGCCTTCTCCCGCTTTCAACATCCCTATGCTCTGTCGCCTAGCAACTGTTAAGGTTGACACACAAAGCAAGAAAAGTAAGAATACCAAACTTCTCACTGCGGTTTCTTTTTATTTATTTTTTTCGTAAAATTAACAACTACACTCATGAAAATATAGAGTGGAATAAAGGTTACAACCACCGGGAGCATGAACGAATAAAATAGCCTGACCCTTTGCAAACACCGAAGTACAGCAATGATAACAATGCATAACATTTTTCCTTTTTTAAACTGTGTCCTGTCTGGCAATGTGGCAATAAGAATAATTGTCTTGATGCCAAAAAGAGCCCAACAGATTTTACTTTCTCAAGTGGATTATCTCAAGAGGGTTATTGCCCTATTGTTCCACTTGTTTCATGCTTATAAATTTCTATTGTAATTATACAGGGAGTTTTACAGTTTATATGGACACTGCAATGTAAATAGAGCAGAAAAACAGAAGAAGGAAAAAAAGGAAAAGAAAAAAAAGATGAAAGAAAGAGAAGATAGAAAGGAGACAATAACAAAACATTTTCAGTCTGCTTCATCACCTGTAACAAGATGAAAAAAGAACAGCACAACCGAAAGACATGGTACGAGATATACACTAAAGCAACACCTTGAAACTATAGCTAAAGTATTATTATTAAGTCTGACATGTACTCTGTGTTACCTGAAGATATGAATGTGGGGTTTCTGTATGGAAGTGAATCTCTGAGTACCTGGAGCCAAGCACCTGTAATTGTTTGTGAGGGTGCACTTGTGCATGTAAAGTTTATCCATAGAAAAAAATGCTCAATAGTGGTTGTGGAGAGCTGAAGAGGCGCACCCTCCAGAGCACTGAGTCCAGCGCAAGGAGACCCAAAGCCCCAGCCGCCCAAAGGGACCCCAAGAGCGAAGGCCCGGAAATCAGACCCCCACCAAGGGAGGAGGAGAGAAGCCCCCCAGCCACTGCCATGCCAGAGCCGCGGGGACAAGTCCACGGGCTCCGCCGGCAGCCGGCCACCCCGAAGTAGGGCCGGGCACTGAACACCGGCTCCCCCACGGCACCGACCGAAACGCCCCAGCCCCACAGAGCATCGAAACATGCACCAAGCCTCGGCGACTGGCTGCAACACCCACCGCGGCCACGCCCAGAGCCAGGGACCACACGCATCCGCCACGAACCGGCCGCGAGCACGGCCCCACCCCACCAAGACCGACGCCAACAGCACGCAACGCAACACACCGCGCACGGAAACAACCCAAGAGCAGAAAGCCGCTTAGCGCCCAACCGCAAGAAGAGCGGACCGCAGCTGGCGCAGCCATCCCCCCCCCAGCAGCCCACAGGCAGCGCGAAGCCAGAGCGGAGCGAACCACGCCGCTCCCACACCGGACGCAGCAAGAGCAGCAAATACGCTCCCCCCCACCGATAAAAATTCCTCCATGCAAGAGGAAAAATGCAAATGGAAAAACCAGAGCCCAAAACAAAACCCAAGACCTGCACCTCACCACGCCGTGCAACTCTCCTTCTCTCTGAACCGATATCACAAAACCGGCATCGAAAAAAGCATTGCCCAGGAACCGGCATCGAAGCGAAGGCACCGGCACTAGCACCGAAAATCCCTGAACAACACCCAGCCCCACCCCGAAGTGAATCCGGGCCCCAGGGATCCGAGGCCCCAGGGGCGCCCGCGGAGAGGCCGCCAGGAACGAGCCAGTATCCACTCGGGCATCCACCCCCAGACCTCGAGCTCCACCAGTGCACCGGCGAGCCCCGACGCCAGCCAGCGGGGGGAGAGCAGGACGGGGGGAATGGGCTCCGCACTTAGTGGAAACATGAGATTTCTGAATGTGAGGGGCGCCGCTATTTTGATTTGCTTGATTCCATCCTTCTTTGTCTTTTTCTTCTTGTGTTTTATGGCGGTTGGCAAACAATTTTTGGTGCATTACCGCCACCAACTGCTTGATTTCCTCCTTCAATACTGGCAGTAATACTGCAGATCGTCACTAGGAGTCGAGGAACCGAGATAGCGTGATGTGTAAACTAGGGCTGGGCGATATAGAAAAAAAGCTTATCGATTAAAAAAAAATGCATATTAATCAATATCGATAATTATTTAAGACGATAAGATTTGAAACCATATTTAAAGGAATAGTACACCCAAAACATGATTAGCCTTCATTTTCTACTCACCCCCATGCTGAACAAAACTCTGGAGTACTTTTTTGATATCTCAAATGCATCTGGAGATCTGGGAGGCTTCTTGCTGTCTGCTGACATTCAAATAATGGAAGTCTATGGCGCCCGAGACAGAAAGGTCCACAAAAGTCCACAAAAACGTGTCAATATTCCTCCATACTGCTCGTCCAATGTAATCCAAGTGTCCTGAGTGGGTAGCGTCCATAATTTACTCGAAACGAAGTCATTTAGAATGTTTTTAGAGCATAAACAGTAGTGTATAGGATTTCCTAATAGCGCCCCCATGCGCGCTCACGACGCTACGGAAGCCGGCAGACCAAACCAGCGCATTCAGCTCGGCAAAGAACTCATGCTCTTCCTCAACACTGAAGTCCTCAGACATTTTTCTTTCGTTGTTTCTTTCTTTGCACAGGTAAACAGCACATTTCTTCTTCTACGCTTGCATTATTGGAAGAGCAGACGCTGAATGCGCACTTCCTTCCGGTTTGGTCTGCCGGCTTCCGTAGAATCGTGAGCGCGCATGGGGGCGCTATTAGGAAATCCTATACACTACTGTTTAGGCTCTAAAACGTTCTAAATGACTTCGTTTCGAGTAAATTCTGGATGCTACCCACTCAGGACACTTGGATTACATTGGACGAGCAGTATGGAGGAATATTGACACGTTTTTGTGGACTTTTGTGGACCTTTCTGTCTCGGGCGCCATAGACCTCCATTATTTGAATGTCAGCAGACAGCAAGAAGCCTCCCAGATCTCCAGATGCATTTGAGATATCAAAAAAGTACTCCAGAGTTTTGTTCAGCATGGGGGTGAGTAGAAAATGAAGGCTAATCATGTTTTGGGTGTACTATTCCTTTAATGTGCAGCCCTGCCTGGACATTTTATGATATTGCTAAATGATTTAATTTTAATAAAGAACACAAACACAGACTTCGAATTAAATCTTTATTTATTCATTGCCAGACAGGACACTATAAAAAATTTTAAATAAACAAATAAAACTACTAACACTTGACATAATGATGTCCTGAAGTGTTATTACACTGATAAATGCTTATGAATATTATGATAAATCCAATCCACAAGTAAACACATACTCTTTTATTTGCTTAGAACACTAGCATATTTTTTTTCATCCAGAGGGTTCAAATTCTGCCAGTGTTTCAGCACAAACCTTCAGTACTTTTAACAAAAAAAGTTGTTCTTCCTCCAACAGAGGGTTCAATTTCTGTCAGTGTTTCAGCACATCCTTCACTACTTTTGGATAAATGAGGATAAATGTCCCAGGTCTGATATGTGGTCGTTTTTGGCATGTAAGGGTTTGCTGTGAGCAGTCCTTGACGAGTTTCAGAATGGGTTTTCTGGAATTACCGTTAACCGCCAGCATCTTGAAGACCCTCTGGCATTTGTGGTGCCATGTTTTGGGTCCATTGAGAACCAAAACCTCTTCCTCTTTAGGTCTTTTCAGAACAAGAACCTCTTTTTTTCTGGATGCATTCAGAACCAGAGCCTCTTCCTCTCTGGGTCCGTTTAGAACCTCTTCATCTCTAGGTCTGTTCAGAGCTAGAATCTCTTCACTCTGGATCTGTTCAGAACCACAACCTCCTCATCTCTGGGTCCATTCAGAACCAGAAGCCCTTCCTCTCTCGGTCCATACAGAACCAGAATGTCTTCCTCTTTTGGTCCGATCAGAAACCGAACCTCCTCCTCTCTAGGCCGGTTCCAAACAAAAACGTCCTCCTCTCTGGGTCCATTCAGAACCAGAACCTGTTCCTCTCTGGGTCTGTTCAGAACCAGAACCTGTTCCTCTCTTGGTCTATTGAGAACCAGAACATCCACCTCTCAGGGTCCGTTCGGAACCAGAACCTCCGATTCTCTGGGTCCTTTCAGAACCAGAAGCCCTTCCTCTCTGGGTCCATACAGAACCAGAATGTTTTCCTCTCTTGGTCCGATCAGAAACCGAACCTCCTCCTCTCTAGGCCGGTTCCAAACAAAAACATCCTCCTCTCTGGGTCCATTCAGAACCTGAGCCTGTTCCTCTCTGGGTCTGTTCAGAACCAGACCTGGTCCTCTCTTGGTCCTTTCGGGGCCAGAACCTCTGATTCTCTGGGTCCGTTCAGAACCAGAACCTCTTCCTTTCTGGGTCCATTCAGAACTGGAAACTCTTTCTCTCTATGTCTGCTCAGAACCAGAATCTTCTTGTTTCTGGGTCCAGTCATAACCACCGCCTCCTCTCTGGGTCTGTTTGGACCCAGAACCTCTTCCTCTCTGGGTCCATTCAGAACCACCTTCTCATCTCTGTGTCCTTTTAGAACCAGAACATCCTCCTCTGTGGGTGCATTTAGAATCTGCGTCTGTTTAGAACCGGAACCTTTTCCTCTCTGGGTCTATTCAGAACCCAAACTTCTTCCTCTCTCTGTCCATTCAGAACCACCTGCTCATCTCTGCGTTCGTTCAGAACCATAACGTCCTCCTTTCTGGGTCCATTTAGAACCAGAACCTCCTCATCTCTGGGTCCATTAAGAAGCAGAATATTCTTCTCTCTAGGTCGATTCAGCACCAGAATCTCTTCCTCTCTTGGTCCTTTCAGAACCAGAACACCCTCCTCTCTTTGTCCGT